TGGTCGACTTTTATATGGCCTCTGCGGATTAGAAAGAGCCTTACCAGTCGAAAATTTTTCGTATAAACGCTTAATGGTGTTCTTAGAAGGCGCACTTCTCACATTTTTTAATGTTTTAAAAGCACGTTGAGTTTTCACAATTGACTTCTTGTAAATTTCAACTATTTGAGCGCTCGCTTGGCGTGTATTGGTTCATGGTAAAAATCTGCTTGGACTGACGCTTCAAACGCGGTATGTCATTAAGCGATGTGACATCTCTGTCAAAAGTTATGGCGTTGCCAGATGGGTCCGTCGAATATGGGCAACCCTGTATATCCTCAATCCAATTTCAGGTTTACTGAGCAAATAATGGCTAATATCAGTCCAAAAGGAGTGAATTTCGGGAAGTAGGTTTCCATTTGGTATAACTCGGCTCCGATATATATTTTTTAATGTAATCCTTCTTCAAGTGATATCATGCACTCTATAACTGCTCTAAAGCCAAATGTTGATAGGTGGTATGATCTACTGGAAATAAATTCTTTTGTTACGGGAACTCTATTAAATATGCAGAGTGGTGTAGGGTATCATATAGTCGGCCCCGCCCGACTTTAGACTTTTCCTTACTGGTTTTATCTTGGATGATGTTCTCCAAATTTAAACATACTAATATTATTAGGACCAATTTGTGTTGAATTAAGATGTGATATGTCCGTCCTGCGCCACTGGTACCTCTTCCACAAATATTTTAAAAGGTATAACTCTTAAAAATATCGCCAATTTTCTGAAATCTTCACACATTGCAAATAAAGACGGGATTTCAGTGCTGCCTTTATAATCCTATACTTCTGCCAAAATAGTATTCGAAACGCTTTAACATTGGGTATTTCGGCTGTTGTTATTTCATAGGTTGAGGTTATATAACGGCCCGAGTTCTTCTTACTTTTACATCTTTTTAAATACCCTAACATGTACGTTTTAATGTTGTCCTAAATTGCCTTCAATTTTACAAAAGCAAATTTTGGAGGAAATTCACAGATTTCAATTAACCATTTTTTCAAGAAAAAATTTTCATGTTAACCCTTTGCCAAAATCCTAAGCCTTTCCACACAAAAGAATACCAAAAAAAAGTCTGAGGCTATAACACAAAAAACCCAAGCCTTTTAAATCTTTCCCGACAAATCTTTACAACACAATCCCCATGAAATATTTGTCGCTGCGGCGACAACTTTTTTCTGCCTAAAGCCAAGAAAATTAGTTAAAAAAAAAACAACACAGGCATTGAGCCTTGGTCGACTAAGTACCCGACCAAATCCAGCGTTTCCTTTCGAGACACGACAGACCGAATTGATATTCAAAGTTGTCGCGGTAAAATATGTTGATGACAATAATGATGATGATGCTCTCGCTGGGGCTGTGGCGGATGATGGTGAAAGTACTTAACACAGCAGCTTTAGCAATTGTTATTAAATTTGGAGTATGCAAACTGTTGGTACTTCATGGGAGGGATAAGAAGGAGGAGGCGGAGCAGTGAATAATGAAAATGACTTGAAATATGTTGGTAAAATACTTTTTTAATAAAGAAAAACTTTTTCAGACATTCATTGGATAAATTTCAACTAAAAAAAACACACGAACATACACACACTGATGTTTACTGACATTCCCACTTACAGTTGATTGACACGTATTCTTTTTGTAAGCTGTTGTTTTTTCTCCGTTTTTCTTTTTTTCCTGCAGCATTTCTACGCATTTCATTCATTCACAAATTGGCCGCGCCAACTTTTGAGTAAACTTTTGATTTTTACGTTTTACGTTTTCCAAAAAAAAAAAACACTTCACAAAAAAGCTTTGATAAATACAAATATTTCGTGTTGGTATTTTAAGCTTTGGCAAAAAGCTTTGTTTTTTTATTGATATCATGGAAGAAGGGCCTAGGAAAAATTAACTATTACCTTCCTTTGTTGGTACTATATTTGGTATTGGGCGAAGAGATAGAGCTGGAATCCCGAGTTTTTTTACTGAGGTCTCTGGGATTGAGATATGGAGTTTATTTTTGAAATGTGGAAATAATTGTACGAAAAGATATTAAATTCTGAATTATGATATTTACGTTACTGATAACATATGCGTCGTATATTTTTACAAAAAGTACTAAATGGTACTAAATTTCGTATTGGGCTGGAATTTGATATTGAGATCTCTGCTGGTATCTGCGATTGAGATTTAGAGGTGGCTTAGAAAATATGTACAATACTTGTACGAAAAGTAGTAAATATTACTAAATTTTGTATTGGGTAACGAATAGAGCTGAAATCCTGAAATTTGATATAGATGTCAGTCTTGGTGTCTGTGGTTAAGATATGGAGGTGGTTTTGGGAAATCCATACTAAATTGGTTGTTGCATGACGGTATATGAGCGTACAAAATACCACAAAATGTGCCGTTGGGCGTTGGAATAGGGCTGAAGTTCTGAAATTTGATATCGAGATCACTGTTGGTTTCTAGGATACGTTGAAATAGCTTTGAACAAGAAACTAAATGTGGGTTTTTTGATATTCTCTGAAAAGGTTTTATTGATATTCTCCTCTGGAAACTTGAAAACGAAAAGAAGACATTTTGGTGTGAAAGGGAAACTTTTTCCTATAATTCTCTCTGAAAAATGAGAGACTCGAATTATATATAAAAGCTTGAAAGTCTTAAAATTTAGTACGATGTAGAAAGTTTTGATAAACAATTTTTGGTCAAACTGAACAAATTGTGCATTTTGAGTACTAACAAGTAAAAAAGCTGTAAGTTCGGCCGGGCCGATCTTTGAATACCCTCCACCATTTGGTACAAATTTGGCAATTTTTTAAAAAATAAAATCCGTTAAAAATTCTATTAAAATCATAAAAATACCGAATGTAGCCGTATATTAGGGTCTATACGACGACGTGGACCTGCATAGGCAACTTTTGTCACAAGCTATTACAATATTCAAATGCGAAACTTGAAAAAAAAAATCTGTTAAATGTAGCTAAAACCATCAAAATTCCGAATATAGGGAGGAACCAGGCGAGTTGTAAAACGTGGACCTGCACAGACAATTTTGAAACAATTCCGGTAAATAGTGTCGCTAAAATAATCAGAATACCGAATATCGGGAGGTACCGTTATATGGGGGATATACGAAGAAGTGGACCTACATGACCCATTTTCTGTTTTATGCTGTAGTATCGAACTTAAAATGCGAAAAAAAAATCTGTTAAATGTAGCTAAAACCATCAAAATTCCGAATATAGGGAGGAACCAGGCGAGTTGTAAAACGTGGACCTGCACAGACAATTTTGAAACAATTCCGGTAAATAATGTCGCTAAAATCATCAGAATTCCTAATATCGGGGGGTACCGTTATATGGAGGCTATACGAAGAAGTGGACCTACATGGCCAATTTTATGTTTTATGCTGTAGTGTCTATTACGAACTTCAAGTATCAAATTTGAAACAATTGCGGCAAATAATGTCGATAAAATCATCAGAATACCGAATATCGGGAGGTACCGTTATATGGGGGCTATACGAAGAAGTGGACCTACATGACCCATTTTCTGTTTTATGCTGTAGTGTCTATTACGAACTTCAAATACCAAGTTTGAAACAACTCCGGTAAATAGTGTCGCTAAAATCATCAAAATACTGAATATCGGGGGGTACCGTTATATGGGGGCTATACGAAGAAGTGGACCTACATGGCCCATTTTCAATACCAAAAGTCCTGCAGACATAATACACATTTGAGTAAAATTTTATCAACCTACTTCATTTCGTTCGGAAGCTAGAGTGATTTCCACAGACGGACAGACGGATAGGCGGACAGACGGACGGACATTGATAAATCGACATAGAATGTATATTTCGAGGCGTTACAAACGGAATGACAAACTTAATATACACTCCATACTACGGTAGAGGGTATAAAAAGGCACTGTTGGATCTTATCAAAAATGTCGCTGACGAAGTAGCGGGCATTTGCTAGTACTTAATATTTACACATATAACACCAAAACCAACTTCACCCAGTGCTTTAAACTAGGACTTGTTTCGATTCTTTACATTCTGACAAATTCAATATACCCTTAGTTACTAGGCTGACTTCCTGGACTTACATATATACATTATTGGGTCTGAGAAAGATTTATGGCAGGTCTATCATTTATAAGTTCCCTATCCAAAGAAAATGAAAATTACTGAAGTCTACCATTTGTAGAAGACATATACAATGATCGAAAATCTATAGAAACACTGTAGATAAATTCATATTTATAAAATCTGTATAGAACCCATTTTACCATATACAGGGTTGCCCATATTCGACGGACCCATCTGGCAACGCCATAACTTTTGACAGAGATGTCACATCGCTTAATGACATACCGCGTTTGAAGCGTCAGTCCAAGGAGATTTCTACCATGAACCAATACACGCCACGCGAGCGCTCTGAAATTTACATTCAACAGAAGAAGTCAATTGTGAAAACTCAACGTGCTTTTAAAACATTAAAAAATGTGAGAAGTGTGCCTTCTAAGAACACCATTAAGCGTTTATACGAAAAATGTTCAACTGATAAGGCTCTTTCTAATCCGAAGAGGCCATATAAAAGTCGACCAAGGCGATCGGCCGATAATATCGCTGCCGTACGAGCCAGTGTTGAGAGGTCCCCAAGAACATCCCAAAAACGCCGTTCTCAGCCTCGTCGATTGGAATGGGCCAAAAGGTCCGTCGAATATGGGCAACCCTGCTTTTGAGAGTCTGCTGTATACCATTTAAAATGTATTTGTTTTTAAGAGAAATTTTGTCCAAGAATAACGATGAAAGAGTTTTATTCTATTCGAAGAAGGACATGTGAAGGCCTCCACTCCCTTGCTCTTTGGAATGTTGATAATTTCAGCATTACTGCATCCAATCCGCATCCAATTTTATGGTCGACAACTACATATTTTACCACTAAACAATGTCAAAATCAATTTTTCAAACTTACCTGCATAAAACAATGGCAGCATATTAAAAAGGACCAAAAGCGATAGCAGACACTTGGCCATGCGCTGCAGATCCATTGCAACACGGACCACGGAAGATGTTGGAGAGAAGACGTTTGAAGTTGCCGGCCAAGTGGAATGCCCTGATGTTGTGAAGCCTTTGCCATCAACAGATTTGAAAGAAGAAATGCGGAAGAATTTTCGTTGTTGTTCTTCTTGTTGCTGTTGCTGTTGTTGTTGTTTTTTAGTTTTGTCATAAAAGTGTAACGAAGAATTGGAAACAGCAGCAGTAGCTGCACCAGCAACATTGTCATTGACAAGATATTCATGTTGCTGGCCACATGTGTAGAATTTATTGTTGCTGTCGTGGTGGCAACATTGTTGGACAACATATTTGGATTTTTGGCAGCTTTGTTGTTGTTGTTGTTGATTTGTGTTGTTGATATCGGTGATAAGTTCAGCATTTCTACTACATGGCTGTTTTTGCTGATGTTGTGGAAAATTTGTTTGGAAACTACTTTCGCTTTGGTGGAAAGCCAGGTTGCTAAGAAGAGGCATTTTAGTGTTGCTGTTGCTGTTGTCGTTTGTTGTGGCTGTTGTTGTTGTTGTTTCTGTTGTGTGGATTTTATATTCCTCAATTCCTTTGTAATCATTATCGAATAACGACGGTTCACTATAAATATTAGCTGTAGAATTGTAATTGTTTCTTTGTGGCTGTAGTAATAGATGCGTTTGTTGTTGTTGTTGTATTGTCCTGTTTTTCGAATTGCTGTAGTTGGCCACAGATCGAAGAGAAGCACAACCAAGTCGAAATTTTTCAATTTCAGTATCAAACTGCTCTGGACCAGCTGCACCAGCAGCAACATCATCTGGAACCATTGAACGCTGCTGTTGCTTTGATAGCTGCTGCAGCTTCTGCTCGAATCGTGGGCTGGTTTTTCTTCCTGTTTCCCATATTGTATCCTGACATCGTGTCGGTCGTTTTGTATCGTTTTCTGGAGTAATGAACACAAATGTTGTTTTATCAATTGTCGCTGTTGTTGTTGTAGTTGTTGCTGGCTGCAGGAGGTAGTTGGGCAATGCCTGCTCTTCCTGTTTTGATGTGACTGTCGCACTTCCTCTTGCCTCCAGCTCCAATGTGTTTTCGAACCACCAACACCACAACTGTTCCGAATGTGGTTCTTTGTTATCTTTGTTCGAATGTTGTTTCCTGTTCCTGTCACAGCTGTTGTTGTTGTTATTGTTATTGGTGTGCTTGCTAATATATCCTGTTGTACCTTCAACTTCCGTTTCAGCAAATATTGATAGTTGACTTGCTTGTATGTGATTTTCAATAGATTGATGGTTAGGTTTTCTAATGACTTTTGTTGTTGCTGTTGCTGTTGTTTTTGTTGTATTGTTATTATATAGTAGCTGTGCTGAGGCCATGTTGTGCCCTGTTAAAGAAGAAATGAAGGGAAGAAAAGAAAATTAACTTAAGAAAGTTTTCTTATTTGTGGTAAATGTATAAGGAATCATTTCTAATAAAAGGAAGTAGACTGATACGATTTGCCCTTAGGCATTGAAGTTTGTGTGTGTGTGTGGATGTTTTGAAAAGGGAGATAATCTCGTTTAACTTTTCCAATAATGACTACTTCGACGTAATACTTTTAAGAGGATAACAGAAAGGATTTTCATTACTAGAACATATATTTGGAAATGACTTTGACTGAAATGAAAATAACATTTGCTTAGAGGCAGATCCTTATCAGAAGAATATTGTATTTTCCTATTGAGTTTAGGGTCTTCTTAAAGAGGACCGATAGGTCTTATTAAAAAACATCAATAGGTCTTCCTAAAGAAGACCTGTAGGACTTCCTTAAAACGATGAATTGTTCCTTGTACAAAATACCATTTTACACACCCTTAGAAAACCAATAAGATTATTTACAGAAGAGAAAGAGTAGCTGTCCTCAAAGGTCTCCATTTTTGAGTAGTTGTTCTCGGATGCCACTTCTATAGAGTCTGTAGAGTAGTAGAGTAAATCGTACCGACTGTAAAGTAGCTGTTTCAGAGGCCACTACTGCATCGTAGCTGACCGCAGTGGACACTAATGTACTACTGTAGAGTAGCTGGCCATTTCTGCAGAGTAGCTGGCCTCACAGGCCTCTATAGTAGAGTGGCTGACCTAAGAAGCCTCTACTGTAGTGTGAATGGCTTCCGAGGCCCCTACAGTAGTGTCCTTGGCCTTGGAGGCCACTACTGTAGATTAGCTGGCCTTAGAGACCGTTCCTGTAGCTGGTCTCAGAACAGCTGGCCACTGGGGTAGAGTAGCTGGCCACTATTGTAGAGTAGTCGGTCACTACTGTAGAGTAGCTGGCCACTACTGTAGAGTAGCTGGCCACTACTGTAGAGTAGCTGGCCACTACTGTAGAGTAGCTGGCCACTACTGTAGAGTAGCTGACCACTACCGTAGAGTAGCTAGCCTCTACTGCAGAATTGCTGGCCACTACTGTAGAGTAGCTGGCCTCAGAGGCCTCTTCTGTAGAGTATCTCGCCACGGAGGCCTATATTATAGAATAGCTGGCCTTAAAGACCGCTCCTGTAGTGTAGCTGGTCTCAGAATATCTGGCCACTGCTGTAGAGTAGCTGACCACTACTGTAGAGTAGTTGCCCACTACTTTAGAGTAGCTGACCACTACTGTAGAGTAGCTGGCCTCTACTGTAGTGTGGCTGGCCTCAAAGGCCAATACTGTAGAGCAGCTGGCCTAAGAGGTCACTAATGTCGAGTAGCTGGTCTCAGAGGCCACTAATGAAGAGTAGCTAGCCTTAGAGGCCACTTCTGAAGAGTAGCTGTCTTCAGAGGCCACTTCTGTAGAGTATCTCGTCTCGAATATCTAGCCACTACTGTAGAGTAGCTGGCCACTACTGTAGAGTAGTTGGCCACTACTGTAGAGTAGCTGGCCTCTACTGCAGAATTGCTGGCCACTACTGTAGAGTAGCTGGCCTCAGAGGCCTCTTCTGTAGAGTATCTCGCCTCGGAGGCCACTATTATAGAGTAGCTGGCCGTAGAGACCGCTCCTGTAGAGTAGCTGGTCTCAGAACAGCTGGCCACTACTGTAGAGTAGCTGGCCACTACTGTAGAGTAGCTGGCCACTACTGTAGAGTAGCTGGCCACTACTGTAGAGTAGCTGACCACTACAGTAGAGTAGCTGGCCTCTACTGTAAAATTGCTGGCCACTATTGTAGAGTAGCTAGCCTCAGAGCCCACTACAGTAGAGTAGCTAGCCTCAGAGGCCACTTCTAAAGAGTAGCTAGCCTCAGAGGCCTCTATTGTAGAGTAGCTGACCTCCGAGGTCTTTACTGTAGTGTAAATGGCCTCATTGGCTTCTACTGTGGAGTAGCTAGCCTCAGAGGCCCCTACATACAGTAGCAGACCTTTTATTTTTGTGGTGTAGTTTTTTGTAGTGTATTTTTTTGTAGTGTAGCAAGCCCCAAGAGGCCTCTTTAGTAGAGTAGCAAGGCTCTATGGTAAATAGCCGACCTCGGAGTCTACTGCTGCCTTTACAATATCATTATCATTCCTGTGATGTGACAAAAAAATATTCAATTTAATTTGGTGTCAGCATTTAAATGCCAAATACCAATATAAATCAAAATATCAATAACTTTGATTCGGATTCAATGTGCAAATATGAAAATCAATTTATTTTCCTTTGCGATTGATAACATAATAGGCTTAGCCGTTAACACTATTCTATGCCCACACACACACACACACACACATACACTCATTTATATATTTGTGAATTTGTCTACCCCCAAAATACAGAAGCAAATAAATTAAAAGTTTTTTTTTTTTTGGTCTACTCGTTTCTTTACTTAATATTGAAGTTTTATTTATTAGTCGGCAACATTTCATCCCTTCTCGATGGCCTCAAGATATGGGCCAGCAGCAGCCATCGCCACACATACACACGAAGCCTAGCATTATTTGATGTCTTTATTTGCCGAAAGACCTCTGACAAACGTTTGATGTCCCTTTGAAATATAAAAATTGTAGTGTGTGTTTGTCAGTTTGCAACCAAAGATAATACAACCTCAATAGCAGAACTCGTTCGCAAATGTCATTGGGTCTGAAAGGAAGGGGGATAACCTTAAACCAATACAGACATCAAAATAGAAAATATTTAGGGCATGGAAAAGGGTAAATGAAAACTTTAACCCCATATCAGCCACACATTCGAAATGTAAATGTTTTAGAATTTTCGATTCGCTTCGTTATGCTAAATTCATCGTTGACTGAAAGGAAATAACTTCAATTAGATATTTGTGTTGATATATGCAATTAAAGGACATGATATGAAAAATGGTTTTCATCATACATCTTTCAAAGGATTTTTTTGTATTAAAAGAAAGGATAACGCATTTAAGGAGCATTTTCACTATAGAAGCAGATACGTTACTTATAGAGAATTGAACGAAACCCGTGTCGCAGTGGCAGAAAAATTGCTCGTGAGCTGAATCTATCGCAATATTCCATTCGGCAAATATTGAAAAATGAGCTCGGGGTAAATTCATAGAAATTCCAAAAAGTGCAAGAACTTACACCGCAACAGGAAGAAAATAGACTCTAAAGAGTTGCTTCGCTTACCCGGTAAAGTGAACTGCCGAATTTGGACCTTGAACATTCCAACAGGACTCAGCATCATCGAACTAAGCATGCGCCCATTAAGAACGGTTACAAAATGGGGTTCTTGGATTCATTTCCACCGCACAATGTCCACCAAAATCTCCGGATACCAACTATTGTGTCTGGAGTCTAGAGTATTTGGGAAAGCAAGTTTGGCACTAAAAAATACCAAAGTCTCGATCACCCCAAGCAAGCGCTTTGCCGGGAATGGGCCAAAATACCGCAGAGCAACATTCGGACAGCGTGTGACGATTTCATTCGCCCTTTGAAGGCCATAATTCGGGCCAAAGGTGACCCATTCGAACAAATCTAAACTTATTCTTAAATTTTATGGATTTTTTTTTGCTTTCATTCAATAAAATTTAAAAAAAAATCTTAAAATGTTGGCATTTGACTTTGTTGCATTTTTTTTATCTCACCCTGTATATGGAAGCCAAATTCAAATCTGAACCGATCTTCATAAAATTTGGCCGAGGTATTTCTGAGCTCAATAAGATATCGGGTACCAAATATCATTGCTGTCTAATGCATATTACGAATGTGAGGGATTGAAACAGCAAATCTGATGAAACATATTTATGGGAGCTACAGCTATATCTGAACCGAATTTCACCAAATTTGAAGTACTTCATTCCTAACGGAATTCGGTCGGATGACCAAAATTTAGGACTTTTGGACTGATATTGGCCATTTGGTGCACAATTAATCCGAAATCAGCTGAAGATATGTTTGGGACCTACACCCAAATCTGAACTGACCACAATTTGGTAGAGGAATATCTGGACTGTATTTGTTATCTGGTACCAAATGTCAATGTTGTCGAATGCAACATTCGAACAAATCTAAACTTATTTTAAAATTGGATGCTATTTCCGACATTTGTTGCTTACATCATTACAAAAAAATTACAAAAAAAAAAAAACAAGTAAAAAACATTAAGTTCTGCCGGGCCAAACTTTTAATACCCTCCACCTTAGGGTAAAAGAAACATTAGAAGAAATGTGGCAAAAACCATTAAAATGCCGAATATCGGGAGGTACCGTTATATGGGTGCTATACCAAAACGTGGACCTATACATACAATGTTTCGCCACCGGAGCTAGAACCCATTATGACTAACAAATATCAATTTTCAGACAAATCTTACATGCTGCTATACCAAAACGTGGACCTATACATACAATGTTTCGCCACCGGAGCTAGAACCCATTATGACTAACAAATATCAATTTTCAGACAAATCCGTGAAAAAATGTGGCAAAAACCATCAAAATACCGAATATCGGGAGGTACCGTTATATGGGTGCTATACCAAAACGTGGACCTATACATACAATGTTTCGCCACCGGAGCTAGAACCCATTATGACTAACAAATATCAATTTTCAGACAAATCCGTGAAAAAATGTGGCAAAAATCATCAAATTACCGAATATCGGGAGGTACCGTTATATCGGGGCTATACCCATACATGCAATGTTTCGCCACCGGAGCTGGAAACCATTATGACCTACAAATACCAATTTTTAGACAAATCCGTGAATAAATGTGGCAAAAATCATCAAATTACCGAATATCGGGAGGTACCTTTATATGGGGGCTATACCACAACGTGGACCTATACATGCAATGTTTTGCCACACGCACAGGGACCCGTTATGTCCTACAAATACCAATTTTCAGAAAAATCCTAGAAAAAATGTGACAAAAATCATCAAAATACCGAATATCGGAAGGTAACGTATACCAGAACGTGGACCGATA